ACTGAAATACATTTCGACGAAATTTCCTTGCAATGAAAGAAATTCGCTACTTTTGGATTGATTTTGTCTTGTTTTCTTTTTCAATCGATCGATCGATCAATCAATCAATCAATCAATTAACCTGCCGGTCAATTAATCAATCGGTTAAGTTTATATAGCACCGGCAAAAAAAAGTTCGCGAAATCATTAAATATTTTTTTAATGTCTTTGGTTTTTAGGCGTCGATGACGTATTATTATTTTCAACAATATTGCTGTTTTTGCGATATTTGTTTATTTGCGGAGCTGGTGATTAATTCTTTCACTGTTTAAACGTTTTAAATCGCTCTGTTCAGTTCTCTTAAATCAATCAACAAACATCAACCAGCCAACCAACCAACCAGACAACCATCTAATCAACCAACCTACCAACCAGCTGCAACCACAACGAACAACAACCATCAAAATGAACACATCAATACTGTCACAACAACAAAAACTACAACAACCAATTTCTTCAAAAGTTACACTCTATCTTCCAGTGGCCACCAAATTTTTCATCTTCTGGCTCACCCTCTACTGGTTCCTGGGCACCATCGTCGCCGCCATTTTGATTTTGGTAGGGTTGGGAGCAATTTGGTATTTTAGAAATTCGGCCATCGATCGTGAGGCCGTTCGGAACTTGCTGCCCGTAGATCGGCCCTTCATCATCGCTAATCGCTGTGGGAATGCAGACGCCCCAGAAAATACAATCGGGGCCGTTAGGGAGGTTATTAGGGGGTACCAGGGTTGGGATAAGGGGAGTGTAACTTAACAGGAGGGGGTGAATATATGTTTTTAGAATTATACTCCCTTCTTTGCAGTCAGTCGAAATTTTAAATTTGGCTCGCAGGCAATCTCTAGAGGGAGCAACGCCGTTCATTTCGATGTCGAGTTCACCGTTGACGATGTGGCCGTGGTCTTCCATGATAAAACATTGGAGAGGTTTGTTCGTTCGTTCGTTCGTTCGTTTGTTCGTTTATATATATACATATAATATTTAATTGTTGTAATTTGGAACAAGTAAGTTTTTTCATTTTTCCAGTTAATTTTTCTAGTTGTTTCTTTCTTGTCATTCATGTGAATAAATGTTTATCTAATTTTTGATTGACATTCTGCAAAACTTCGACAATTTATGTCCTTCCAGGCGGTTGTGCAAGATGAGTTCCTCAATGAACTCCATCACAACTATCCTGCCCTCTTATCATTATGTTGTATCGTAATGAGGAGGAAAATAAAAATATTACATTGTATTGTATTGTATGTATGTATGTATGTATGTATGTATGTATGTATGTATGTATGTATGTATGTATATATGTGTACGTATGTATGTTTGCGTGTACACAGGTGCACAAACGGGACTGGAAAGTTGTGCGATGTCACGTTCAAGTTCTTGGAGATGCTGAACGCCTCCTTGAGCCACAAGTTGGTCTCGATGACGGTGTTGGTAATGATACACACACACACACACACACACACACACACACACACACACACACACACACACACACACACACACACACACACACACACAGAGGGATACAACAAAACACAAGGAGATACAACAAAATGCAATTCAATACAACTCACTACCACTGAATACAAACAGTTCCAAGTTTCCGAACGAAAAAATACCGTCGCTAGATGCTATGGTGACCGAATGCTTACGTCACAAACTCATCATGGTCATAGAGTTTAAGAACTCTGCCCTCAAGGTCAATTGAGGATCGATGATGATGATCATTTTATGATGATAGTGGTGATGATGATGATGATTTCATGATGATGGTGGTGATGATGATGATGATTTCATGATGATGGTGGCCGCGATGTGATAATAATGATAACGATGGTCATATTGGTGTGTTAAACCAATGATGAAGATGAAGATAATGCCGATGATGATGATGATGACGATGTTGGGCATTACAAATCAGGCCATCAGGGCGGTCAAGATGATTTTTGAAAGGCACCCGGCCATCTACAAAGACGTCATCATCGTCTCGCACAACCCTATATTACTCTACAGGGCTCGTTATTATTATTCATTCATTCATTTATTCATTCATTCGTTTGTCCGTTCATTCCCTCATTCACCCTACCTACCAATCAGATGAGGCGTTCCATTCCAATGGCTATCTGCGGCCTCATTCAGCGAACCAATCAACTTTCGAGAAATTTCGACGGCCATATTGTGACGCGCGCTTTTTATCTGGACTATTTATGCTACGTGACCTGTGATTGGCTAATCGAGTGGGCATACGTCACGTGGGCGTGGTTTCTCTGTGGCTATTCGTTCGTTCTGCTGTACCGGAAAGACGTATCCGTGTATGTTGTTTTCGTTGTTGTTATGTAAATATAGTGAAGGAAATGTTGATTATGACGTCATCATCGCCAGTTGCCTCATAGATTACTACAGAAATCTGGGCATAACTTCAATCGTTTGGACGGTCAACACAAAGACGGAGAAGGAATACTTC